AACTCCTTCGCGATGAATAAAGTCCTATGATTCGAAAACGTTTCGTCTCACTTGAATGTGGATGATCAGTGTTGGTATCTCACCATCCCTGCCAGTAGCTGGCCGAAATAGTAGTGTGCCACATTCTCTCCGATCCCAACATCCGGCGCTGATGAATCACGAGTTAATGATTGGATACATGATCGGTCAACGAAACGCACCGATCTTATCAAAGAGGTCTCCTCCTGCAGCAAGCTCTAGTAGCATGTACATTCCAGGGACATAGCAATCTTTGTATTTGCGCTCCACCACGGCAGCCTGTAGAAACTCCAGGACATGCTTGTGCTTGAGCTGCTTATGAATCTTCATCTCCTTCTCGACAACCTGGCGTTCCTTGTCGGTAGTCTGCTCCTTAATGAATATCACTTTGCATGCTGCCACTTGATGGCTCTCTATATTGACGGCTCTGAACACGGTCGAGAAGGTACCTCCACCGATTTGTTGAATGAGCTCATAACCTGCAAATCAGTCATGTCATTTGTGAACCTGACCCAATAAGAGAGAGAACGTACCTGAGATTTTAGGGTATTTCGGAGCCATGTTGATACAAGAGGTCTCTGTCAAGCGCAGAGACCAACGATATTAATATACATGATGATTAGTGGCTCAAACAAAGTTGCGTTCCTTTGTGACGGACACGAAGTGACTGTCAGCACGTGCTATGTGACACACTTATACATACGTTGCGCGCACTTTTTGGTTGATTCTGACGAGTTAGATCAGGTTGGACAATGAATGATACCGCAGACTATTCTAGATGGGGTCGAGACAGTTGATTACAATATTGGCAAGGATGACGCGGACGGATACATGGGACGAGGCAACATTGATATCATCTATATAACATTGTTACATAGCCGAGACTCGTTTCGCCACGGTTCTGCCGGTTGTAACTGACAGAACTAACCCCAAGTAGTTCTTCCCCCTATACTAGCGACAAACGAGTCTGGACCATGTACAGAAGCTAGTTTTTGAATTGCTGAAGATATTGGGTTATAAATACTCGCCTACGACAAGGTAGAGCAACGGAGACGATGGAAGGTGAAGAAGCAAGAAAACCGACTGTCGACTGCCTAAAGTAAGATGGCGCTGGCGGTGGCCAAGCCGCAGACGGTCCTTCACAGGGGACAGCAAGTCGCAAAACAGGAAGTTCAAGAAATGTGTGAATTTACCGCAGGTGACAACTATATGCAAGTTGGAGAAATGCGGCACTTTGCACATTATTTTCCCTACCAGGTGGGACGTTGTAGCACATTTCCATTGATTTGATTTTGCCACGACGTGTCATTAGGTTACACGAACAGACCAGACCAGACTCATTCCTCCGTTAATGCCACGCATGCCGTATTATCGTGTCCATTTACTCACAGCTCAAGGATGTTGAGCCACGACGACCCGAAAGAATGGCAAACGTTGGCCGTCAGACTCGCCACCCAATATTTGTCCTCCAAGTGTATAAAGGCAGCTAGAAAAGTTGGCATAAAGGCATCAAACACCACTCGCCTTTTGAACCTCCTCTCACCCAGTGAACAGCATGCACGCTTCATTCTTTGCCGCCAGACTCGTTGTGCTTGCTGCCATCGCCTTAGCTGTTTCTGCTCAGGCTGAGAGTCAGTAATACTTCGAGATTAGATGATGCCAACACTTATGATACGTCTAGGTCATCTTCCCGAAGGTTGTGACCGTAGTGTAACTGTTCAATCTGGAGATACATGTGACAAAATCTCCGCGGCACACAGTGTTTCCACGTACGTGCAATCATGTGCCTTCCGTTCACTTTTTCATCGAATGTATGCGACAGATACCAGCTGGCGGCAGTCAACAGCAAAATCATTGACAGCGGTTGCGATAATTTGGCCATCGGAGAAGTAAGATATTTTGATGTTCGAAAAACACTTGAACTCATCGTCATAGGTTATATGCCTTGGAATCAAAGACCATGATTGCAAGGATACCCATGTTTTGAAGAGCGGCGAAACGTGCCATAGCGTTGCCGACGCGGCTGGTATCCCGGAAAAGACGTTGCTCGCGAACAACCCGAACGTAGGCTCCGACTGCAGTAGCATATATCCTGGCGAGGTGAATAAAATCTGATTTATCGGAACCATTGCTGATAAAAGGATTTCAGGTTCTTTGCACTGCGAAAAAGATCTATGTGAAGGCCACCTGATCAAAAAGCTGAAAGTGCTATAGCCCTAAAATACTTTACCCCAGTCAAGTTAGAGCCACGGATCTCGCATATGGACCGATTGCACAATTGTCCGGCGGACCCATCACGGTCAAACTTGTCCTTTCCACGTGATTGCGCGGACAATTTCTATATTTATATGCCGCAGCAAATTTTGTTTTGAAGTGTTGATATTTAGCTTGCAGTCGGAGAATGTAAAAGGAACTAGTACTGAGTTCAAGTTGGACAGTCGCTCCTGTGGGCTCCATGCATATGGTGGAGTTGCCACATTATGATTCTGATGATGCTGATGCTGATCGCAGCGACTGTAACACCCAGGGCCATAATGTTGGGCACCTAGGAAATCACCGACAGATAACAGAAATCAAATTGAAATGCAACAAACTGCTTTTCCACCTCACCCATGGGCCATGTCGCAACCAAGCTTTGTGGCGCCCTAATCTACTGCTATCTCCGTCATCCTGAAAGATGTGCCATAAGGTAAGCTGTTTTTTTATTCTATTTTTTGTCCTTTGCGGAGAAATATTAGCACAATACATTAATATTGTACTAGTGGTCCAAGGACTCCGGTGTCCCGATCGCATCTCCAGGTGTGCGAATGCCCTGAATCCTGATGTGAGGCGTACCACTGTCCTCAATCCATGGTAAGGTTGTTTCTTTCTCATGAGTCAACATGATAGGTGAGCAGCTGAGCTAGACCAATCACCATGATCCATGGCTATCGGACCGCAGGACGTCTCTCTATTCAGATGTAGAATGTAACTTCGTTCATAAAAAATAGGTGTTGACAGAACAACTCATACAGTCAGATATGGTCGACCGCTCGAGGCTCCAGCGAGTACAATTATATGACGTCCCAATCCACCTCTTGGGCTCCGCCTGATCAGCCCGGATCACGCAGATATTGTTGACTGGTTCCAATCAAACTTGCGAACTTATCGCTGACTATTTCGGTCGAAGTACTTCACCTTGCTCGGAGTGGTGTTGCCATCAGTGCAATCAATGGAATCATCATGGAGACAAGGTCCAAACCTAACTATTGAGAAGAGAAGGTAGCGGGAACTGCTCAAATCGCTGCGGAAAGATGGACGATTTGATTGGCTAGCAATACCATATGCTACATACATATTGTAACTCTGCGCTCACATCACAGAACATCCTAGTCCACAGTTTCAAGCTTCTCTTCCATGCTGATTTATTCGCGTGTTAAGACCAATTGCGAAATCAAGTACAAGTATTGCTTCCTCGAAGAATCATGCACAGCGCTAGCACGACTGATACGATCAACTTCCCAAACACTGCCGTTTCATTTCGGGCGATAGACAAATAACCGAAATAGTCCTGTTTAAACGTTGAAACACCCTTCATGTATACATAAAGGGTTGCGTCCTGCTCGTTGCTAGCTCGCTCTCGAAACACGCCCCATACGTCCAACTTCCAATGACTGAAGTTACAGGCAAAGCAGATTTCAAAGTTGGAGACGACACGTACCAGACTTGGTACAAAATCGTCGGCGATCTCACTTCGGGTGCCCACCCTCTGATCGTGCTGCACGGCGGCCCCGGTATCTCGCATGAGTATATGACACCTCTCGCCGAAATTCACAACAAATGTAACATCCCTGTCGTCTTTTACGACCAGATCGGCATCGGAAAGTCCTTTTTTGAAGGTGTGGCGGACAAGCCAAAAGTGTTTTGGACTGTCGATCTCTTCATGGATGAGCTGGACAACCTTGTTACCCACCTTGGTGTCCAGAATGGCTTCGCTCTTCTAGGTCACTCCTGGGGAGGGATGCTAGGGGCGCACTACGCCAGCCACAGACATCCTGTGGGTCTCAAACACCTCGTCATCAGCAGCGGAGCGCCGTCCATGGCACTGTGGGAACAGAGCACCCACAAGCTGCTGAAAGCGCTGCCAGCGGATGTGAGGGAGACGATTGAGAGGCACGAAAAAGAGGGGACAACGGATAGTCCTGAATATGAAAAAATGGTAGGGATCTTCTTTGAAAAGCACGTTTGCAAGAGCCCCTGGCCAAAGGTGATGGAGACGTCCTTTGCGGCCATGATACAACATCCCACCGTGTATCATACGATGTAGGTGATATCTTGACGGACCTTTCTGATATGTACTGATCATGGATTCCAGGACTGGACCGTCAGAATTCACGATTACGGGAACGCTGAAGTCGTGGTCGTGTCTAGATCAGATCCACACAATCACAGCTCCTACTCTGCTCACCAACGGTGTGATGGACGAAGCGCAGGACGTCTGCGTGAGTCCTTTCTTCCAGAGAATCCCACATGTGAAGTGGGCGCAGTTTTCGCAGCGTCACGCGCCATTTTTGGAGGAGGAGGACCAGGCGAGATACTTTCAAGTGGTGGCTGATTTTTTGACATATGCTTGAATAGTTAAATACTGTAAAATATAAGACTGAATGCACGAGAATGGAATGTCCAGTGATTTGCACCTTCCACAGGGAAGGATCTCAAGGCATTATCCTGCCATAATTGAAGGATACGCGATGAAAGGGCGGCCGTCTGCCATATATGTTAGGAGAGCTTGGAAATACTAGAAACAAATGAGCAAACTGGAGTATCTGATTGAGATGGGAATCTGGATGTACATTCACTGGTGAAACGAGGAAATAATCGTATGCAGAAAGGGTAGGATTAGGGCTTGCATCAGCGAACCGGTGAACAAATGAGAATGGTATTTAAAGCAATATATTGTAGAGCATCGCAACAATCTTCGTAAATCTGCTGACCGCTTTCACATGGGAATATTTGGCATTGTCGAGGAAAGACGGATTTGCAAGTACGCTAGCCCAGTAGCACTATTTACTTCGCAAGCTTTTGCACTCGGATGGATGGACGAAAAAATTAATGCACACAGGTTCATGAAGTTAAATACGGACTGAGACTGAGAGGGTCAAGGAAGGAGGTTTCAATGTGCTAAAACAAAAGACATTTGGTCGTCGCACAATCCATTTTGCTAGCTCAGAGTGACTATGACATGAGTGCAACTTGCTCAAGCACACGAAGCATGAGTCTGTGTTGCAAGAAAACCGTAGTGAAGATATCTATAAATGATTTAAAAATTGGTATAAAGCTACAAATACACGTAATGATCGTGCTAAATTGTAATCCCACCCAATCATTGGCATCTTCATAATTTAAACCTTCTGGCCTCCCTAGCCCAAAATTTCTGACGAACTTGTACATAGGGAACTGCATGGGTATACCCCCGGGTTTTTGGTGGGTTTTGAGTATCTGGGATGGTAGCCCTTCATTCTGCGACAAAAACAAAAAAAAGTTTATGCAAAATGATCCAGGATTGGCTGAGATATTGCTAGTCCAACAACTCAGGCTAAATCTTCAAAGCTCATCCCTCCACACATCAATCTTTGCAAGCAAGTCATGATTTTGCGAGTTTTTTGACATTTTGAGTACCCACCTGCAAAGATTGATATGTGGAGGGATGAGCTTTGAAGATTTAGCCTGAGTTGTTGGACTAGCAATATCTCAGCCAATCCTGGATCATTTTGCATAAACTTTTTTTCGTTTTTGTCACAGAATGAAGGGCTACTATCCCAGATACTCAAAACCCACCAAAAACCCGGGGGTATACCCATGCAGTTCCCTACTTGTACACTCCTCAAATACGTGACGGGTGCCCAAAAGCAAGCAAGCGCGAATTTATACATTGCTTGGGATATTCGAGCAACATTTTGTGTGTATCCCATCATGGAACACTTGTATTCACTTGCGACACGCTCCACAGATAGGGATCCGCACGGGTGAACCCCCGGGTGTCGGCAGGTCAACCCGCACCCGCACCCGAGGTAAACCCACACCCGCAGCAAGGGTATGGGTTGCACAGTGGGTAGCGAAGTAAGGACCCGGGGTACAACCCATCAAGGGTGTACCCGTGGGTCATAGATCCGCCAGTGCTTAGCACATATGTCCAGCACACGTCAGCGAATGCTGACGTGACTCGAACATATGTGGATGGCACAAGAAGGAGGAGGGGCGTGCACTGGGCATTCGCGCATGGCATCCGTCGCATTGGGAATGGCGTAGTGGTCGTTGGTGATGGTGTCGCTGGGGTATGCGCTAGTGCTGGCGCGAATGACAAAGATGGTGGTGCAAATGATGGCAAAGGTGACGCGGATGGTGGTGTTGGCATGAAAGCTGGTGGTGGTGCGAGTGCTGGGCGCACAAAGATAGGCGCCGGCGACGTGACACGTATGACGTTGTTGTTGTTGCTGAGGGTAGAGTCTTCAATGTGAGTACTCACTTCCAGTGTGCCCAAAGTCTCGTCTCCTTGAGTTCCTCTTTCCTCCTTCATCTCTATACCATCCCTTCTCCCTTCTTCGATTCTCTTGTCCTTTCGTCTTCACATGTTGTCCGCGTGCGTTTGCATCGCGTCAACACTTGTTGATGCGTTTCGGGCGCGTGCACTGTGAACGTGGAGTTGGTGGACCTGGGAAGGCGCATTAGGTGCTGGTGTTGGTGGTGGTGCCGATTGTAGCGTGCACGCGGGAATGCTGGGTGCGAAGATGTTGATAGTGGCGTGGTGAGTGAAGACGTTGATGATGGTTGCAGTTGAGGAGTGTGCGAGGACGAGAGGTAAAATTACCGAAGGCACGGGTATAGCTGGGGTACGGGTAAGAGCGCAGGTCTTAGAATCCCAACCCGTACCCGTACCCCAGTAGTACCCGTACCCGTGACCCGCGCGGGTTACCCATACCCATGCAGATCCCTATCCACAGAAGTCGTGGTATTGTGCAGACACCGTGTCGTCTTCACTTGCACCAATGTGAGAAATGAGGTTGAGATGTATAAGTCCACCAACCTATTAGTATCATTTGCTTCATAACCTTTTTGACTTGGATGGCTCTGAGAACAAGTGAGTGGGCACGGGTTCACGAGTTTAAATATGGACCAAGACTGACAGATAAAAGATAGAATATTAAATTGTGTGAATATGGAATACATCGTGGTGATGTTACTAATGGTGCGGATACACATCGTTCAGCATTCAAGTAGTATATCATTGCCAGCTCAGAATGACCATCAATTAGATTCACGTTGCTCGAGGGTTGAAATAATGACACTGTTACAACCAGACACTCCTTTCGGTGATGTCACTAGTGATGCAGATGGGTCTCATTTGGCCCTGGAGTAGCATATTGTTGCTAGCTCAGAATAACTATCAATTAGGTTTAAGCTGCTGGAGGGTCCAAATCATGATGTTGTGTTACAACCAGAGACTCGTTTTGGTCATGCCACTAGTAGTCCAGATGCATATTGTTTGGTGTTCAAGTAAAACATTGCTGCTAGCTGACGGCTACACGATCATTAGTATTGTCATGATTTCACCCCTTTTGTTTCTGTGTTTTAAGGATGAACAATTATTTTGCTCGTTGCTACATAGCCAAACTGCTCTGTGAACTCGCCATTTTGACCATGCATATTGAAAATGATTGGAGAGGTCTTCACGAGTGGTACCAGATATTTTGATAATAAATGATGTCGTGCTTCATAGCATATCAGAAAATCACATTGCGCTATCACAACAAATCCATAAAATTTCATACATTAGCAGCAGAGGTATATCTATCATTAAATACATGTAGTAGGCAAATAATGACAACTAGTTGGAGTCAAATGCGGCGTCCTCCATATGCTGTCTCTGAGCAGCGAGCGCATTGACGGACATTTGGGAAATAACCTCCATCGTCAAGTCCTGCCGATGATTTCGCCCGAAAACTTTTCTGCAGTGAGTTAGCTGTCAGAATGAGTCGCTACTGATGGTCGGTGACTTGCCTGGTCCACCACTCAAGTAACTCGTTCACCCTGGCTCGTGCAGCCGGTCCCAGAGTGTCCTCAAAGAAGTCTACTCTGTTATTCCAGAAAATTTGATAATCGAAGTCACCATCCATGATGCGCCAGGACGTGATGTTGGAAAGGGCAAATCGGACCTGCCCCAAATTTCAATTGGATAGTTAGAAGTAAGTATCAATGCTTACCTGACAAGCTGTGTACGCGATTGCGCGAGGGGTCACTTTTCTCATACCTATGATAGAGGCCACACACGTTTTCACTTTAGCTTGATCGGATCATCTCTGGGCACGTCGGTTGTTCTTAATTATATCGGCACCATCACCTTCGCCATCAACTTCATTGGCGGAGGAGGGAGAAGTAAAGATGGCCTTAAATGCCTGCAATGGAATGAGCTGTAAATCGAATTTTAAAAATAGAGTTGCTCGCCATAACCAATAATTTCGACTTCATGAGACCGCGCTCTAGATTCTTCGAGTCAGCTTCATAGTCTTCATACATATACGACGGCCACAAATTCCCTGAAACAATGAATGTAACTGTACGGTCACGAATGCCAGCCTTGACGCTAGACAGAACATCAGCGACATGTGAGTGACCTCATAGAAGCATCACTTACATTGGATCATCCCAGTGCCATTCTGCTGGGCAGAGTAATTTACTGCAAGCATTGCTCATGAAGCCTCGATGATGCTTGTCGTCAGCCCTAAGGAGCGAAGTCGGACGACGTTCAATATTTACCCACAAAGCCATGAGCTCCTTGAGGGTGCCTGTGTCGTCACCACAAGCCGAGTCTGTGCCTTGCTTGAGCTATATTAAAAATGAGCAAGAAGTATAACAAATGAAAGCGTAAAAAACCTTTTTGAGCATATCTTCTGATTCCTCGTTATCAAGGCTTGCCAGCTTCTCATGGATCCATGGTAATACCTTGGTGAGTTCGACATAGCCACGTTGAAGGCGGTCCTGTCTGTTATTTTTGTAATAAGCACGATGACAAGATTATCATAGGATACTTACTCTGCACTGGGTACAGCGCAGTCACCAGTGTTTCTATCCTCACAGCACCTGTCATTTTCAGTAATGAGATCCTCGATGGGTGTGTAAAGGACGACCATACGACGAATGGCTCGTCCCTGCGAAACATAATAGGTTGTCTTCCTACAATCCAGGCATCAAAATGGCTCTAAGATATCAAGAACATACGTACCTTTGCTTCATCGCTTTGTCCTGCTTCAAAATCTCAATTTCATCCATGAGGGCAGCAATCCTTCGCTTTGCCCTAGCATTAGGAGTCGTGGGGACACAAATCAATACCTCTTCCATCTGGCGGTCGGCCAGGTCTGCATAGTCGTTCTCATGTGTCGACATATCTGAGATAAAGTAGAAGAATCAGGGAGAAGGAGTGAATGAAGGGTAGACGAACCTGCGAGGTCATTCTTATAGTCTTCACCTTGGCTGGAATGACCTAATATAAGGTAAAATTATGCTCAGATAAGAAATGGAACTTGGCCTTACTTGGTCCATTGTCTGGAGCCTTTTCGGGTGATCGAAGTAACCTGGTCATGTCCGATTTCTGTCCATGCCGACATGAGCATTTCTCAATCCTTTTTGGGATAGTCTAAGTAACGTTAAATCATAACGGCTATGCAGTGACGGTAAGGCGTACTAGTACTTAGGAGGGCTATGAAACTTGGAAGCCGCAAGTCGAGTGGGCACTCGTCACTGTCAGGCAGTGACCTAAGGTGAATGAGACAAACAAACTTATCCAGCAAGAACCTTGTTGGTCATGAGTCGGTGACACGTTCAACATTGCTGATGCAAGAACATACCTGCACCGGACCAAGTGTCTCTTGAGGGTGGCATTTTCACCACTGTGGTGAGGTGAAAAGACTGATAGTGCTCCATAACAATCGAGATCGATCAAGGTTGTTGTTGTTGCTGTTGCTGTTTGGAATCAAAGATTATGCCAAACAAAGCTGCACAGCCCCCTGCTAATGCTCGGTCCAGCCTAACTTCACAGATCATGTCACTGACTCTACATCGATGCCATCACATTACGTACTTATAATATCAAGCGCTGCAAAACGAGATATAATCGATGAAGAAAAATCTGCACTCATCAATATTGTTGTGGATGTACTAGAGCCAGACGAAGCTAAAAGTAAGTACATACCAGGAATATGGTTAAATTGATGGGCCAGCCCAAGTTAGTCACTAAAAGCAGGGTGCAACCAAAGGAAAATTTTAACAAGTCCTGCCAGTGGGCTGCTCGCAGGGCCATGACGAATATTTTCCAGGACCCTAAAAGGGGGTAAATGACTAGTGATTTCCTATTTTGTCGCGTTAAACTCGACAGGTGAGCACCGTGACTAAACTGCCATGAATCGCACTAAAGTCGACCCATTTGGTCAGGCAAGTGCTAACAGTTCAGCCACTTGTCAACTAGCCACTCTGAATACCATATTTAAAGATCGAGCAATGATCAAAGTAAGTTGCTGTGAGTCCAAATCATGTCTGATACTCTTAGTACTTCCCCCGGGAGCATCCCCTCTGCGGCTCGTCCGAGTCGGCGCTCTGATCGTCTATGTCGACGTCGTGTGCATACTGCCACCTGCCTGCCTGGGGCCCATAAAGAATTGCCAGATATTAACGATGACTCAGAAGAACTCAATGGCACGCGTGCAGCAGCTCAGTTATGGTACTCTGGGTCAGACTCAGCAGAGGCTCGCGCACAATCTGAAGTCAAGAAAGGTACGATCTCTCTCACTGCATTCTCATAGGATACTTTACTTACCACTGCATTGTGCTAGTCGAATTCCAAATTCCTTTGAATACCATGGATGGTAACAAATGTACGACATACGTGGGCCATCTATATTCTGAATCAGATAATCGCATGGACATGTTCGACTCCATGAGAGCCACAATGGATGTCCCAAAGATGTACCAGCACATGGGGTGGCGCTTGTCTACAGCCTGCCGTACGGACCCAGTACATCGGCTTTTGACTACCCAAGATCTTAACAGTGCTTTCAAAGCTGCAAGGATGGAGCAGAATTCTGGCCGAAAGAAGAAAAAGGTTGTCATTGAGATTGTGAACACCATAAGCGTTTTACATTCTCTCGAATCTGCACGATATGACGACAACTTGCAGATGCCTGGCATGAAAGGCCCGGGAAAGTCAAAAAAACCACAGGCAGACTCAGATATTGAGCAGAACCTGACTGACACTGTGGCATCCCGGGTTGTTCTACCTTACACAAAGGAATTAGAGAATGTGAAGAACAGGTTGCGGTGCTTCGAGCATCGACTAGTAGGAGAGAATACATTCTGCTGGGTAGATGTGTCGCAACCAAACACTCCCCACTATTCACTCTGTATTCGTGACCTACAGGAGTGGGCTAAATATTTGGTACATACCAGTGCATTCGGACCTTCAAGTACACTATATGATGTCTAATTCTAGCACGACATTCAAGATCCAGACAACGCCTGTGTTACTCTACCAACAACACCTCATTTTGACAAGATTCGAAAGATGCCTCAAGGACGAAGTGTGTCATCACTTCAGCGCATACCCACCGAGCTTATATCCCCCATTATCCATAACCATGTTCATCTTTCACCTTCTATCAACAGTTCCAATGGCGCACACTTTGTCCAGCAAGGCGAAGGTCCTCTGATGCCTCAACCACTCAAGAGGACCTTTGCGCTTTACATGGAGAGCGACGAAGATGACGAAGATGACAAACCATTGCAAAATATCGATGACGTCCTCACGAGCATCCATCTCTGCTACCCTTTGATGAACTTCCCTCGGTATCTGGATACGCTGAAGGAGTGTGGTATAATGTATCTACTGACTGCATCTCATTTTGATAGTACCTTCTACGAGGAGAAGGTGGGAATGCCGGAAGGCGCTGCATATACATTTCACTCTCACATTCGTAATACTCACGTGAAGAGCGAACGTGGAAAGGTGAGAAGGAAGCTCAAAGGCAAAAAAAAGGCAGGAGTGCAGGCTGAGAACCGTGATGAAGTTGAAGAAAACCTCCAAGCTCTTGAGTAGCCACCACCTGGGACGGTGCGTAACTTGTTTTCAAGTTTGTATCTGATGCTGACTGATCATTCCATTTACTAGTAGTACTACCAGGGCGATACCCTCTGCCAGTGGTTCAAGTTGATCCATTACTATATACTTTGTCTTTATTACTTACTAGCGTGACATGCTACTAGCGACTTTTTAAGAATAAATATGTTGTCAAGATTCAGAATACAGAGGCCTAGGGAAACACAGATCCGGAAATGTGAAACAACGAACACCTGCCAGTGTATGTTAATGGGACGGGCAAACCAAACAAGTGGTAGACGGTTGCTGATGCGACAGCCGCATGCCAGAAAAGAAGGTTCATGAACCGCAGCCTCAGAGAAGCAAAGGTATGTCCCGTCCCGATTGCCTGAGTCACTGGTGTTGTGACTCGGAATCAGAGTTATAATTGAATGTTACCTTGTGGAGCAACTTGAAGGTCATGTTGGATGGGATATAGTACCTACATCTACTACGTACACTCACATAATGATAAGCTCAAGTACTTAAGTACTAATACCTCGAAGGAAGTTCTGACAAACAATTTGGAACAAGTGACGATGTGAATATTCAAATAGTAAGCCTCATATCCATATCATGATATCTATGATGCCTCATGCTCTCACGGAGATCAGTCCAGCTGAGCATTTTATCCCAAATCGGTATGTCAAGTACAGTGCAGTAATACTAAACTGGGCTTGTTGACTGAGACTTAAGCTGCTAAGCATAGCTTCCATGCGAATTAGGGCCAACACACTGGTCCAGTCTTTGAAACTCCGCCACAGATATTAGTCGGACAGAGACGAGTCTCCAAATTCAAGTCTTGCCTAACATGAATTCCACCATGGAGCCCCCTCCTACAGGATTTACTGCCCATTCTGAGGCTGATCGTCAGGTATGTGATTGATCCAGTCAAATTGCATGGGCTGCTGATTTTTCCTCAAGAGGTTTTTGCAGGAGGGCAGCAATGCAAGTCCACAACATGATGTCTTGCTAGAAGCAAGAAACTCCAATTCTGGGGAAAGTACCGCCTATGATCCAATTTCAACACCTCCAAACCTTCCACCTGTAACTCGTCATATGTCTTGTTATATAAGGTGCTCGTTTCCGCGGTTTACTGGACAGGGAAAGCGGGCTGATGCTCCCTCTGCAGCAGAGCTCCGCTTCGCTCAAAAGTATCTCGGGGGAGATGTTGACATGAGCATGATAGATGTGAAGAAGGTATTATTTACCTCATTTATGCCATAGATGACCTTCACATGACAATCTTACACCAGGGCAAAGACATCTTCCTTAACGGCATAAAGGATATGCCGGATGAAATCATCCAAGACGCTGTTCTTGCGGCACAAGCTGACCGCGAACATGCACATTTACTTGCCATCACATCAGCTTGGGGTCTGGAGAAAATCGAATGGTGCGTGAGGCTTCAGACAAAGATAATGAAGCACAACGCCAAAATGTATGCTGATAAGTTAGCGGAAGCATCCTTTTTCGAAGCACTTTTGGTCAAACGTACAAGACCGCAGCTTGAAGATGACGCGGACTTCACTATTGCAGCATATGTTGAAGATTTCATGGTGTTCACTGTTGCAGACATGAAGCTTGATCAACTAGAGGATGTTGCTGATGCATGCAAGCTGGATCTACCCATGGACGATGCAACTCCTGAGAGTTACGTGAACTCACACTTGGATTCTATTATTGCGGGTGCAGACAATATCTACCCCTGGCCCAGTCGCTTCTGAGCCTTATCTCGGTGAGGCAATTATTGGACTAATCCTTTTCATCACAATATTAACTCGCCGGGCAGTACTATGACATATACGCTTGTTTCAATGTTCTGCATTGTTTTGTTGTTTGTACGTTTACCAGCGAGATAAGTAACTTGATTTCTGTAGCTGGAAGATGATGAAGGGAGTTGATGGTGTAAGCCAGTTGTCAAAGAAGAATGTTTCATTAGGAGCGGCAGTCATTGTACTACTAGAGCATAGATTGTCAGCCTGGATCAATCATGCACCCCGTCTCAGGCATACATTTTTCCACACCACATCTTGAACCTTCTGAAGCTGCTTTCCTGCTGCAGCCTGAGTGACGCCTCAGTTATCAATGCGGACTCGTCTGACGAATGCGCAAAGAACTTTTATACCCTATTCTTGTTTTACTTTTCTTTTACTATTGTTGGATGGTATCCTGCGATGCTCCTGGCTGCTCGTGGGCAAAGGCAACCGCTGACAGTCGAGGGCTCAATAGGCATCACGCAACATGCCAACTATACCGCAAATCCCAAGTTCTAGCTAACAAGAAAAGGCAAGAAAGGGCGAAAGAGGCGGCCAGAAAGAGCTCAGCCGGTTCTTCCCTAGTCAAGGTGAGCTGTCTTCTATAGTACTATTTCACGAATAGTAGTCATGACGGCTCGATTGTCACATTTCTAGAAAATTATGCCCGTGAAACAGCATGTGGAGAGCAGTAACTGCTCCAAACACATTCAGGTTGTTGGATCCGTATCTCAGGCTAGCGCAGTGGACCCCAAGTGCTTCCAGAAACTCTCGGAGCAGCAATTTGAGGCAGACTCGGATGCCTTGGGTATGTCCAAGTCTTTGGGTTCCTCGAGTCAACTTCTGACCCTTCATGGGCTCATCAGAAGAACCGTCGCATCCTCTCAGATGAATGCCTAGGGCTTTTGAGGATATCCCTTTTGCTGACGAGGATCTTAATACCTCGGACATGTTTGATCCTTCACCTACTCGGAATACGGTACCGCCTCAATCTAGAATCCAGAGAGTTATATTGACCTTGCGAGACACACTACAAACAACCTTCAATTCTCTTGGACTTTGCCGCTTGTACCCTCGTCGCCCATCCTTCGAGCCAGATAGATTTGTCCCATCTTTGCTACTTTCTACGACATGTCCAACCATCACAGAGACTGCTTCGCCCGATGTTTTCCCACCTCCCTACCCCTTTCCAGACATGACGATCTATCGCCTCATGTCTTGGATGAATTCCAGCAGCAATAAGAAATCTGAGGCTGAAGTTGCGTGTCTTGTCAAAGAAGTGGTGTTGGCAGAAGATTTCAACTCGGAGCACTTGCAGGACTTCTCAGTGCGGAAGAATCTGCAAGAATTAGACAATGACCCCAGTGGGAAGAAGATCAAGTTTCCAGATGACTGGACGCAGACCAGTGTTACGATCAAGATCCCTATGAAATCGAAGGAGGACGATGCGAGAGCTTTTATCGTTCCCGGACTCCATTTTCGCCCCCTCATCGAAGTCATTCAATCAGCTTTTGTGGATATCCAAGTGAACACATTTCACCTTACGCCTTTCAAGCGCCTCTGGAAAGATCCATTGGACAATCACGAAGAGCGCATATTTGACGAGCTATATACCTCTGACTCTTGGCTGGATGCCCAGGATGAGGTGCAGAAGCTTCCAAAAGAGCCCGGGTGTAAAATGGAACGAGTGGTTGCTGGCCTCATGTTTTTTTCAGATGCTACGCATCTTGCAAACTTTGGGCAGCAAAGGCTTAGCCTCTGTATATGTACTTCGGAAACCTGACGAAGTACGCACGTTCTGCTCCAAAGTCTGGCGCATGCCACCTTGTGGGATTTTTGCCGTCAGTGAGTCATTTAATTGTACCTTTAAGGATCTCTTTCAATCGCATATCAGCTGCCTGATAAAATCAAAGACGTTCTGAACAACTTCCCTCGGATATCGAAAAGTGGTATGGCCGCTCTTCACACACACTGCCGATGCAAGTTGTTTCATGCATGCTGGGATATCTTACTAGATCAAGAGTTTCTTCATGCATATCGCCATGGTATTGTATTGAAATGCGCTGATGGTGTCATGCGCAGGATATTTCCTCGTATATTCACATATTCGGCTGATTACCCTAAAAAGTGTGATCTGTATTGATGTTTTCAGGCAAATAACTCATTAGAACTTAGGGCTTTAATTGCTACAATCAAGGAGATGGGCTCTTGCCCGTGTCCCCATTGTCTCATTCCTAAAAACATGTTTTCTTCTTTAGGCCCCGTCAAGGACATGAAGAACCGTATCAAGGATATTCGAGCCTACGTTGAGACTAACGTTGTTAAGGCACGAGAGTATATTTTCAAGTGGGGAAATACTGTAGACGGCGTGAAGGTTGAAGAGACACTTGGAGCGGGCTCTTGGGTACCTGTCTTGGTGAGTGCGAATTCCAAGACCCTCTGTCGTACCTGCTCAGAGCAGTACCTCACAGAACAAATTTTCGGAGCGGCTGGGAGCGCTGAGACTTAATCCATTTCGGATGCTGGTTGTAGACTTCATGCACGAAATCGAGTTGGGTACTTGGAAGGCACTTTTCAGTCACCTTATCAGGATTCTTTATTTGCTCCCAGGAGGAGATCGCCTAGTCGCAACTTTGGACTCCAGGTGCGTGGAACTTGTACAAAATTCCTAGTGTCATATTAACAAATAGTATCGCACCGCAGATTTTGTCAGGTTCCAACTTTCGGAAGTGGGGTGATACGCACCTTCACAAACAATACGTCAGAGATGAAGAGACTGGCTGCACGAGATTTTGAAGACATACTGCAGGTTCTTGCCCCGTTCTTAACTATTTGCTCTACCTCACTTACTGACCCCTTTCAACTCCAGTGCGCAATACCTGTGTTTGAAGGACTATTTCCTGATACTCATGACGCGGCCGTCCAGTCTCTTTTGTTTAGATTCACACAGTGGCATGCGCTTGCCAAGCTAAGAATTCATTCAGAGTCGACACTTAATTTCCTTGAGGAAATATTTAAGAAACTTTCGAGACAATTGTGAAAGTTCCACAATCATACCTGCACTGCCTTTAGTACTGTAGAGTTACCAAAGGAGAAGGCAGCTCGCCAATGAAAGTTTGTTCAACGTGCGGGACCTCATAACACTCCTACAGAATCTAGTGCACCAAAGGTGAAAAAGTTCAACTTAAACACATACAAGTTTCACACAATGGGAGATTATGTGTATACCATCAAACTCTTTGGGACTACTGATTCTTTCACCACTCAGATTGTACGCATTGTCTGTCTCCTACTCCTCAAAGACACTTATGAAGTTTTGCCCAGGGAGAGCTGGCGCACAGAGCCTTAAAAGTGTTCTATCCGCTAACGAACAAACTCGACACTTCAGCACAGCTTGCAAAGCACGAACGCAGGCGCCATGTACTTCAGCGAGTCGAGGAGGCAGCAGGCATTTCCTCCTTGAGTAATGAGTCTCCGGCCGACTCCCCTGCTCCACTGTTGTCCAACTTAAAAGACCATCATTATATTGCAGCCAGTCGGAACAATCCAGTCTCGTTATTTGGATTTCTTCGGGAACACGATGGTGATCCGGCTATTAAGGTAAACTTTTATTGTACTCTTGGGCGCCAGTTTGTTTATACCGCTCTCAGAACTTCATTCCACGATTGAAAGATCACATTTTGTATAGGCTGAACAAGTTGGATATTGGCCATTGCGACCACACATTCATGGCTGAGGAACGCAACTCAGTTATCATTCCAAATAATGTGGTTTACTCGGCTCAGACTATGCAAATACACTATACGACGTACAACATGCGATGCAAATATGATACCATCAACCCAAGGACACATGCAGATGTGATGGTGCTTTCAGGTGAAAGCACTCCAAGCCACCCATACTGGTACACTCATATACTGGGTATATATCACTTGGACACATGGCTCGAAGGGAGTGAGATCTCACAGCACCTCGAGGTGCTCTACGTCAGATGGCTCGCACCAATAAAATCACACCAGTCTGGCATGCAGCACGCTCGCCTTCCCAAAGTGGCATTTGTGGAGGAGTCTGATTATGACGCCTTTGGATTTCTTGATCCAGGTCAAGTGATCCGGGGAGCTCACTTGATCCCCGTGTTTGCTTCTGAGCGCGGCGTAAGCTCCCTCCACCACAGAAAATTGTTAGCACGTCCCATTGGGGAACTAGATGACTGGGAAGAATACTATGTCAGAATGTGAGTCCAATGTTTTTTCTTCTTGTGGATGGATGACTCACATTAATCAACATTAGTTTTGTCAATTGTGATATGTTCCTGCGTTATACTGACCTGGGCGTAGGACACCCGATAACTTTGTGGAGCACTGTCAGAGATTATTTTGGCTCTTGGTCAAGAGCGCCAGTGGAGGCAACAGATATCGATGAAGGCGGAAGTGATGATGAGGGCTGCAGAGATGATGATGAACAGCATATGCATGTCGACCTTCAAGACGATGAGGAGCCAGAGGATGAAGGCGATGACATGGAGAGTGAGGAAGATGCAGGAGAGTCTGACGATGGGGTCGATGACCTAGGAGAAGTAGATGAGGATGATAACCTTTCTTTTTGAGGTAGGTCCGAATTCAGTTATAATAAAAGCACTCGTTCATTTTCTGATCACTTGCCTCGGCATCGACTTGCAGGTTCACATGACCATGAAAAACGTTATGTATAGTAGTACTAGGAGGTACTCGCAATTTTCATGTACCCAAAATCGCTTTGCACGATGTTCCAGGTCAGTTGTGGGACAAGGCAGCCAACAATGCATACATCGACTGCAGGACTTAGTATTTGTGAAAATCTAGCAACTTTTAGATGAATGCGACCGACTCTACCATACAAAATATGTTGTGCAACGACCAAATGATACACATCCTATTTAGTAACTTCATGAACCCATGTGCATTAAATTTTTCGTCCATCCATCCAAGTGCAAAAGCTTGCGAAGCAAATAGTGCTAGTGTGCTTGCAAATTCATCTTTCCTTGACTTAATTCCCATGGAATGATTCGCTGTGTACAGTATTCGCCCTCTGGAGAACTTCTTGCCACCGCAACAAACAAGAATATTTAAATTTATAATCCAGGCACAAGGGAACACGTCACAATCTTCAATGAGGCTCACACGTTCAACTTGTCACTCGCATGGATGCCCGATGGCACTCGCCTTCTTACAGGTGGCGGTGGTTCTGATCCCACCATACGTAAATGGGATACAACAACCTGGAAGCAGGACATCCGCATCTCGTGACAATCATGTCCGTCCCTGGCAGCTCTCAGACCGACAAACTGTTGCCACCTTCGAGCACTCACCTACGCCGTTCTGCATCACTTTCTCCGTGGACGGCAATTACATCCTCAGTGGAGGTGAAGATAAGGTGATCTCGGAGTGGGCAGTACTTCCGAGTCTGGGTATTCATCCAAAGGCATGTTTCCGTCCTTGACTCATATGCCACAATTCGAGCATGTTTTGTGCAGATCCTGGCCATCATGACAGCCCATGTTGCATGCATCTGAGATGGGCACTTGTCTACCACTGAAAAACTACTCATGCTAGATATCAACACCGATGCCAACAACCATACTTCCTATGCCCATTGGTCATTTGTGATGGCTCGACAACACAAATGGGACCATGCCCTCCAGGATGCGAGGGCAGCATTTGATGTTGCATCAATGTACACTGGCCAAGATCCACAAATCCACCATTTCCCGCTCTTGATCAAAGTACGTTATATTTGCCTCGCATACTTTCTGATTCATCGTATATTTTAGGCCATCGTCCTCTTCAATGCAGATCAACATGACGAGGCCATTCTGCTCCTCAAAGAACTCACTGCTGGTTGTCCGAATAATGCCGATGCTCTCGCGTGTGATGTCATGCAAGTAAGTAGCATCCGCACTTGGTCATTATCTTTGCAACTCGTGCATCAGGCATATCTGCACATTCAACTCGGAATCTGTTAATTGTAGACACTCGAGTTGAGGTGCATTCGTTCCTTCCGCCTGCCATAGAGCAGCTTGCCTCCTCCAGATCAGCTTCCTCTGACGTGGGCAAGATTCTTGTTATCATAGCGCCTACACGGGAGCTGGTGCTTCAAATTGAGGAAGAGGCAATGTCCCTTCTTGCACACCACCCATATGGTGTGCAGTCTGTTATCGGAGGTGGGCAATCTTTCCCATTCTTTGCCGCATATCATGATATATATTAACACTTGCAGCATAAACACAGAGAAAACCTGTCTTAACTCTCCCACCGCTCGCACCGACGTCCTAAATGCCACTCCCGGTCGGCTCCTCGACCATCTGACTTTGGGGCTAGCCCTCCGCCCAACTGTGCTCATTCTTGACAAGGCAGATAGGCTACTCAATCAAGGATTTCGCAAGGATCTAGAACACATTCTGGGATTCTTGCCTGATAGACGGGGAACAAGATGACAATCTATGCTATTTTCTGCAACTTTTGACAATGCAATCAAGAAGGTGGGTAGGTTTTTTGTGTAAGAATAACAGGCACTGATCGTTTTGGGGAGTAGATTGCAAGGATTTACCTAGATCCAAATTATAAATTCATATCTACACTCCACACGGACGAGATCAACACACACGAACATGGTGTGTGCATCTTTTCCATAATCTATCAATGAAATAACAAAGTGACACATATGTAACATAGTTCCCCAGAGTTACCTCATAACGCCCCTCGAAGATATCCTTCCGACACTTGTTTCCCTCCTCAAGCAGGCAGGTCTGCAAGCAAAAGCAATGCTGTTTTGTACAACAGCACGTGGAATGGCCGTTGTCGCGAGTGTCTTGCAACAAGTGTCTGCTGGGCCACAATCTATGCTTCCCCCAATCTACCAGATCCAAAGCCATATGTCACAGGCTGCGCATACATGCGCCGCACAGGAGTTCCACGATGCCCCAGAGGGTGCGATTTTGGTTACCAGCGATGTGACTGCAAGAGGGATGGATTTTCCAAGGTGGGTCTTCTATCAAATCTCAAAGTATCCTCAGTCCCTTTGTTGGCCAAACAATCATGCTGTTGTCTGATCATTTTTCGTTGATCTGTTTTATTTCATATCTTGCCCTGCTGTCTACTTTCTCTTCCTTAGATGACGCACATTACGAAGAAGCTGCTCACCATTGTACTGCTGTTCTCAACTTGAGCGCTCTCTCATCGAACTCACCTATTCATTTTATGTATGAGGATTTGGTGGTGGTGCGTGAAAATACATCCGAAATCCTTTTCATAACCAAGTCCCTTGTCCAGCTCTTCAGCTGGGATCTCAAATCATTGTGGGTCACTGCACACCAGAAATGTTGTCATGCACTCCTTCGGGCAGGTAAACTTCAAAATGCTGCTAAATCATACCGATACATGATGGACAATATCGATGAAACAATGGGGGCGAGCTGCATTGAATGGTCCAACAGTGAATGCACATTCCGATCATAATGACAATATTCACTTCTGCTTCTGTTACAAATTTAATATTAACTGGTCATCTTGCAGTTATGTTGGTTGCTCGGTCTCTCGCATGTGAAGTGCACATAAGTCGTATTGACTTGATCCATTCGTTTCAAGATTTGCAGCCAGTCCATATATGATATGCAAGACACTATGTTACGTACTGAAAAGCTTAGACGTGAAATACCCAGAATATTCACTGATACGGTATACCAGTTTCATGTCCATCTGGTGTTTTGTTTCTAAACTACAAGTTTCAGTGTCACGTACTATGCCTCACAGCTGTATTGTCACCCCCATAAGTTGTCAGGTCACACATTGTCACTGCTGCCACTTTCAAAGTCCGCTTGGCAAACTCTAAGAAATTTGTATTACAGCCTAGCACTGACAAGTCGTCACAGCCATTGGTTTAGAACTCCACTATGGTAGTGCTCGGATGGCTGTCACCAGCATGACTTGGACGGCTTTCAATGAACTTCACCATTTCTTAATGAAAATCAGACATTCAACCTCGCAATGAAAACTGCATGATAAAACATTGATCCAAGTTGTAAATTGTGTGTGGAAGTAAGAATTAAGTGAGATATTCAGGTCGTGACGACTTATGGGGGTGATGACTCAGCCGTGAGGCATAGTACTGCAGTGTGACTTAATATGCGCGTGACGTTTCCTCACGTGCTTTGTGTCACTCAAATTTATCAATGGTTAACAGTGTACACGTTGATTGATAGCAACATAACACTTAGTAGTTGCTATTCCTTTGTTCAATGATGGCTGACTCTGCAGAGACATCTCCAGAAGTGATGCTCCAGTTTTACCGCATGCTGTGCCCTTTCAAATCCATCTTCACATGACTCAACCAGGAACACGCACCAAAAGATTTGTTTACAAACCGCGAATTTGCATTCACTCTCCAGGGAGACGTGTATCTATGTTATAACTGCTTTTTGAATGCAGAAGAACTCAGAAAGCAAGCAGGTGTGCGAGATCCAATAATTTAAGCGCCCTGCCTCGTGTACTAAACAAGGGTTCCTGCCAGCAAAAGCCATGCATCGTTTCTGGTGAGCCTGCTGCTCTCTACCTTTTCAATTACGAGCCTCATTCACGTATCATATATCTTGTCACCTCACTGCTGTGGCTTCTTCACTTTACCTTTTATTGTTGACGTGCCTTAGCAAAAGGTCCGACCCTATTACCAGAAGTTCACCCTTTTGACAAAGACTGGTTCACACCGACATCTGAGCACAAGCAATTACTAGTGCTCCCGCCTGCTAGTGACTTTCAGACGTCACTCATATTGCCAGAGTGCGTCACAGACCTGTCTTGTCAACCTTACAACTCTCTCACAATACAGGTTCCCAGTCTTACTCGCCATTTCACGCTTCTTCGCTCCTCCTCCAGCGATCCTCTTACACTTGATGATCTCAGGTTTAAGTTTGCGGAACAGAGAGCCTGTGGTGTGCCAAGCCAAATATCAGAGGAGGAAGAGGACATGATCCTTGAGACGCTGGGGCGGATGCATACCAAAAATGCTGCGCCCAGTACCACTTCGAGCAGCAAACTTGAGGGCGTCTCTGGCGCTAATGCGACTGACCTGGGAAGGAATCCAACTACACCCATGAGCGTACCTCTCATATATCCACCACGACCTCTTCGACCACATACCCAGCTTCATCTGTTACTTCATCATTGTCGCCGAGTTCGCATTCAACAAAGAAGTACAGCAACAATCTTTTTGCATCTGGGCGCACTCAATCCGACGTGTTTCGAGATCGGGCCCATGTACTCATCTCGGGTGAGCTATCTTTCAATCTGCCTGGCACTTACACTGACAACATGCCAACCAAGCAAGCGGAAATTGGCGCGGTCTGTAAAGTCTGGGAAGCTCTTCACCCTGTTAAAGTGCGAGCTGGTGTTCGATATTGATATGACTGATTATGACAGTGTGCGCACATGCTGCACATCAGCAGGAATATGTAAATGCTGCTGGGCATTCATCGCCAACGCTGTGCGCGTCCTTGACTCAGCCTTGCGCACGCAATTTGGATATCATCATTTGTCATGGGTATACTCGGGCTGTCGCAGCATCTATTTGTGGGTCAGTAATAACTAGGCCATGGGGCTGACCGACGAACTATGTAGAGCTGTGGTTGGGGCGCTTACTGTAATAGAAGGAGGTAAGGAGATGGCGAAGAAGGTGAATGTAAGAGGCGTGACACGAAGAGCCACCCCAGAGATTTGCCACCTCCTCTGTGACATGCACGCGATGAAGGGAGTAGGATGTGGTATCAATTGTCGGATAATCAAAAATGCTTCCTGTCCAAGGACGGCTGGCAAATGCTGCTTAAACTGGTTCCGGACAAGAAAATTGTCGAGACTCTCGAGGAGCGATGGGAGAAACAACCCGGTATCGAATCGTCGAAGAAATGGAATGAGCTGAAGGCAGGGTAATGTTGTATACACTTCACTTTTACTATCTATGCTATTACTGATGCTTCATAGGCCCAAAATCTAGCCACTCTCGAGGACATTATTCTGCAATTCATGCCTAGATGCCGAAGTATCCAAGCACCGAAACCATCTTCTCAAAGTACCACTCTGTGTCTGCGTCCCCATTGACCCAAACCATGTGAAAAATTTCGACCCCAATGCAGTTCCCAAAGTTATGCAGCTCCTTCAAGAGCTTGACAAGGCAGGCGAGGGTGCAAGTGAGTGCACCGCTTGTCACTGTGCCCGTTGTTTTCACTTACATTTTGATTCAGACTGGGAGCATACAAGTCTCAAGCCGTACGTCAACATGGTAGACAGACACGTTATGGGAATTCTGGATGATGTCTGAAGGAGAGAATGGGCAAAAGCTGTGCTTCAACACGGTGCGTGGATTTTGGTGTATTTTAGGACCATTCAGATTTTTGTCTCATTTTACAGCAATGTAAGTTGCAAACAATATCATTTACCCTGTTGTATTCTATTAATATACGCTGCCTGTCGTCTCAGTGATTCAATTTCGAGTCTTCCAGTCAGTTACGACACATCATGTGAGTCGATTACTCATGAGACAAAAAAGTGAGGCACTGTTGTGCTCACGCTCGACACCGTAATGTGTTACATACTTATGCATCCTCTGTTTGCCTTGGGAATGCCCCCCATGCTTAGGTGTCGTCATTGAAGGAAACCATGACTGCGTCATCAATGAGCCAATACTCCTCGTTACTTTCATCGACGTTATCATACGCTCCCAGCTCGACGACAAGCAAATGGACACTGGAAAGCAGCCAGAACTCACGGTCATGTGATGTACGGTTGAATTGAGGCGCGGTTAAACGGTCCTGCTTCCTGCTGCACGGTGGGGCAGAAAGTTTGACTTGGAAGGATTCAGTGATTAATTGCACATGCCCACGTCGTGCCATGGGTTCAAGGTGAGTCACTTGACTTTTCTTCGCCATCTATCAGCATGTTCAATGATGTCCAACCTTGGGACTCGACATTGGTCGCCTATCACGACCAGGAAGAATCCCTAACAACTAATGACACTCTTGATTTTCATCGCAAGAATCTTGGTTTTCCATGAGCTGGCCAATTTCCCCCCAACCTCCCTGATCAGCACTATCAGGCCGCAGGTCAGGGCATACTATACTCTCTCATCCCATATCCCCCTCCTTACCTTCACGTTCATGAATCCAAGATCCCGCCTGCATTTGCTGAGGCATGGGAGTCCCATGAAAACCAAGATCTCACTCCAGGAGCTTTCCTTGAGGCATGGCACCCCACATTCTCTGATCACCACGATTCCATTGATCGTAGTCACAGATCGCCGAACTTGTCTCAACTTTCTGTGCCATCATCCAGCGCCACCTTACTGAATCATCACTTACCCGCTAGAACTCCTGAGACAGCCAACGCGGACTCGGCCCAACCCCACGCACCGCTCGGTACCATCCACTTACCACCTCCTTCAGATATCATTGATGATGAAATACGTCAATCTCACGCTCCCCTCATGTCTATTCGCCTCCACAGGGCACAATCCAGTGGGACAACTCGCTCAAGGACCTCGCGTATGTCCAGATGGACAGGAATAGAAAGGGGAGAAGCCGCAAGGCAACTCAATTCTTAGCCCCTCACAATGACGCCCGTGCAACCGACCTTTAGTGTAGTACCGTTCAACACCACATCAGTCGCGTCGCAGGCGAAAGACACGATGAAATCACTACTCTTACAGTCGTCCTTATTTCCCGCAAAAGACGACATCGCCGCCAAGGCGATGACTGCATGGACCACTACCGTCGAGAGCTAACCAGGTGAGTATCTTCTTGAACCGCCGCCAGAGAGTCGTGCTCACAATGTTCCGTTCAAACTAGTTGAATTCCGGGACTTGGCAAGAAGCGCTGCTGTTGCCGGAGAAAAGAAGCTCGTCAACTTAGTTGAAAGTATGCGTAACGATTTGAAGGAAGTAGGACAACATTTTGTATATTTCAAGTACAATTTGGGTGGCGCCGTCTTGGCGACGGAGATCCTCACAGCTGTTGAAGTCTGTGCGCATCAGACCATTGAACTCATCATGGATGAGAGGTTCCTGGACGTTACCGTTAACATGAGTGATGTGTTTCCCGTCTGAAATCAAACTGACGCGCAGTGTCTTTAGATTAATGGGAGCTTCGTCACCATCCCATTCAGCAGCACCCCTGTTTTGGAGTTTATTATGTACATCACGTACGACAGCAAATTCGGGTACGATCGATACCTCGGGAAAGGCGTCCCCATGACCTGCGACAAGTTGCGACCGCTGTTCATGATGACAGGTACCATATTCAGGTAGGCGCTGGGGGAGCGCTCCAGTGGCATCTTTACTGCCAGTGATTTTGTGGTGGATGACTGGCAGGCATATCACACAGGTTTGGAGAAGTGCTTTGACAATATGAGCCTAGTGCAGCAGGGAGCGCTTGACATATTAATTGCAAAGCACGTCGTCTGCCCGTACTAATCATCATGTAAGCATTTTTGTACCAGTAGTTCAACGAAACCAGCACATCTGGAGTAGCTTTCGTTCCCTTGAGTGATTGTGATATGTTGCAGTGTTGTGGAGAACTGGCATGCTTGCCAGATAGACGCCTAGTATGTCGTAGAATTTAACATCTGACATATCGGTAGCCAAACGTTTACCATCACCATGACAGTCTCTCTTCAAGCTTCAAGTCATGCACGTGTTTTCGATCCTGTGTCTCTAATACTGAACCCCAGTGAAAGTCGGACATCATGGGCCATTTCCACGGAGGTCGACGGATTTGTAAGTTCCGGGTAGTAGGTGATAGTTGCGTGCATGATCTTGTAATTCACGCAATATTTGAACCGATCTATAAGTCAAACATAAATGAGGTAATATGATGTTGCTCAACAAACGGTACCTAATTACACTATCATACCTCACTGGTTGAAACTCTCATAAGAATATAAATTAGGTTACAAGTGCTAACAGTTCTTTCCACGATAAAGTCTTATATCACTTGGTAGTTTAAAACATAAATGAAGGGATATGGTATGAGTCAACAAATATAACTTAACTATGCTATTGCATATTGATTGCTGCAACGGCACAATGTTGTAATCTTGTCACAAACTCCTCATGGTAAAATGAATTTTCAGAGATTCATGGCTATGTACCAATAACTAATATTTATTGCCATATACATAGGTATATTCAGCCGTAGCATAATGATATCATCTTATACTTCCCACGGCTACAAAATCAAGGACTCATGAATTCACTGATGTGAGTAATCCAAGTTGAACATTCCAACTTGGTCCTAACGTTGTCATCTCCAAACGCATCAGCCATTATTGTGTCTTGACATATCAAGTCTCATCTGGTTGTCAGTCGTTCCCCCAACGCGCCTCATACGTCGTTCTTCGAATGGCTGAAGTTACAGGCAAAGTAGATTTAAAAATCGGAGATGACACGTACCAGACTTGGTACAATGTTGAAACCTGTTAAATAAACCAAACGTTTCGTCTCGATGACAAAAATTCGAGGAAAATCAAGTTATACAGTGGAACGCTGGATCATGTAGACAGCTAAATGTTCAATTATGCCGTCAGCGAATTTCATAGAGTGGTAAAGTACTGACCTGGTGCAATGTCCTTGCGAGCCTACCACCATTCTATATCGCAGCTACTGCTTGATTCATCCTCCGAACATCCCAACTCAAAAACAAGGACGTCGTCCATCACACAAGAAAGTTTTCTGTGCCAGTCCAAGCTGTCTTGCCCTAGCACAATGTTATCAAGTTTCGCGACCCGTGGTGGTCGGACGTTAAACGATAACGTTGAAATATCAACGGCAAAAAGGAATTGCAGATGTTCTTAATTTTGACATTAGTACATAGTAGGCTGAGTGACTCGGATATGTCAAAAGCATCACATAGCATTCGGATTCAAACCTTCAAGTTTTTCGATCGATGTGCAAGTCCAAGTCTTCTTACTCGGAGACGAATACGAGTCCGCAGGGCAGAGTCACTATGGGGAGGGCTCAGGGAGGGAAGGGCTCGGATGGCAAATGAGGACACCCGGGTGATTCGTGCGGTGTATCAAACACCTGTAGAAAGTTTCTTCGAAAGAGAACCAAGACTTGGTTGCTCTAAGCAGGCCCCCGGCGAGTCGATGGGTACTCTTGGTGGCGGTGTAAAACTGATACATGACTATGGTGTATGGTAGGTTACGGTTCGTACGACGTACAGTAAGGGACGCACCAATATTTTAGTTGCTTTATCGTCGTACTTTTGAAAAAAAAACTCGATCAGTCAATAGTAAATGAAGCGAAAGAAAATGACATCCCTTGTCACACTGGTCTGGCGTGTAATTCGTGTGGTATGTGGTCAACAAAATTTGAGAAGGCATGATGGTTTTCATGAATATCCACACCCTAAAGATGTTTTTGTGAGCAGGGAAAGCACGAAGAGTGAAATTTTGAAAACCCATGCTGAAATTGAGACTGGCGGAAGCCGAGAACCGCGGGATCCCCATCAGCTACCGGGAATTGCTGCAGTCGTCCCTTAAGTTGGTTGTCAAAGCGACTTTAAGCAAGGTGGGTAGAGAGCTCCGAGTCCCGAGTCGGAAGGATGACGTACTGTTGCTATACGAAGTTTGTGTTTGTGAAGTAGTACATATACTCATACGGTAATTCACAATATTCACATCCTTATTGAATGCATCATGCAGATCCGGGACGAGGCGACTCGATCGATCGATGACTCCATTAGAAATCTTGTATACATAGTCTACATGACCCTATAAAGTTTGACCAGTTCCTTCTCCTACACTAGTGGTACTGATTTCATCTTTTTCCAGCCTTCTCCGTTGTCCACCTCGGGAGGGCCCCCACATAAACTCGCGACCAGCCCGTCTAATGAGGCAACGAGTCTAGCCCCCACAGCATTCGTCCCCGGATCACCCCAAGGCTGTCCACTCGTAAATTAGATCTACCGGGTAGGCGTGATACGACGTGTCATATTAAGCTACACGAGTAAATTTTCACCAAGTCTATTGAACACGTCAGATCAGACTCATATTCCTCCGTGAATGCCGCGCGTGCCATATATGATGGTGTCCATTTACTCACAGTCCAAGCATGCCAAGTCGTGACGAGCCAAAAAAACGGCAAAGGCTGGCCGTCAGGCAGCGTCAGACTCGCTGACTGGTGTTCATCCTTCAAGTGTATAAAGGCAGCTAGAAAAGTCGACTTGAGGGCATCAGACATTACTCACCTGTTTCTCAATCTCCTCATCTGAACAGTATGCACGCTTCATTCTTCACCGCCGGGCTCGTTGCGCTCGCTGCCATTGCCTCAGTTGTGTCTGCTCAGAGTCAGTAATCCTTCGAGTTTCGATGATGCCCACATTTATGACAGCAAAACGTCTAGGTATCCTCCCCAAAGAT